TTGTTTTACTGCACTCTGATATAACTCAGTTGCTTTTTGTTCATCTTTTTCTACTCCAGTTCCATTTTCATAACACACACCAAGAATATGTTGAGCATTGGCATGTCCTTGTTCAGCTGCTTTCTTATACCATTCAACTGCTTTTTGTTTATCTTTTTCTACTCCAGTTCCATTTTCATAACACTGACCAAGATTATATTGTGCATTGGCATATCCTTGTTCAGCTGCTTTTTTATACCATTCAACTGCTTTTTGTTCATCTTGTTCTACTCCAGTTCCATTTTCATAACACCAACCAAGATTATGTTGTGCATTGGCATATCCTTGTTCAGCTGCTTTTTTATACAATTCAACTGCTTTTTGTTCATCTTTTTCTACTCCAGTTCCATTTCATAACACTGACCAAGATTACATTGTGCATTGGCAAACCCTTGTTCAGCTGCTTTTTTATACAATCCAACTGCCTTTTGTTCATCTTTTTCTACTCCAGTTCCATCAGCATAACATACAGCAAGGTTATATTGTGCATTAGCATTTCCTTGTCCAGCCGCTCTGTGCATGTTGGTTCCCTTTTTCATTCTAGCATAACAATGCACGAATATGTTTAGTGAAAATAATTTTTTCGGCATAGTAATAGAATCAAATGTATATGTTGGTATGTAATATCAGCGACAAAGGAGAATGTAGTGTAACGGGGAGTTATAAATGTTACACATATTCTGACACATAAAGATTAGAATAACCATCGCAGCCATGAATACGAATTGCGACTTCTACTCTATACATTATGGAAGTAATTCAGTAAGCTGTGAAGTAATTTGGAAGTTAACTGGCAAGCACTTTTTGACGCTCCGTTGTAGGAGACTTTCGTTTCTATTTATCACAAAGCGAGTTTTGAACAATGTCTATGCCTACTATTATGGCGCTTCCATTGTATCCGAGCAAGAAGCGATACCAAGTTCGAGTAAAGACATGGATGTAGGTGGCAAAGTTTTATGCCGCAAACATTACAATAAGCTGATAGCTATTCGTAAAAAAGTCAGAATGTAATGCATGTTCTCATCTCAAACATAGATTTTATGTGTCTTCAGCCAGATACAATAGGGTTCAAAGAATGATTGATCAAACTTCTTTACAAGTTTTATTAGAGTCTCAAGTTGTTCTTCTGTTATACATTCAAATCTAAAGTTTGTGAACGTCCAACACTTGGAATTCAGGTTGATGTACTAATACATTATGGCCACCGCAAGTTGCAAGTTTGCTGGGTTGCGTAGATTAGTAGTAAGACTTATTTGGAAATATGTTTGCAAAGGATAAGTAGTGTCATTATTTCTGACTACCCATTCTGCAGATTATGGGTATAATAAACGGAGCATTAAGAACAGTAATCTTCTTCATAAAGTAAGCGTAAAGCCTTTTTTTTAGTTTATCGGAAGGACGCCAGTATATGGTATTTGAAGAATCATAAGTTTCGGAGGTAAAGAAGACAGGAATTGTGGTCATTAATAGACTGCGAGTTAGTAACATTGTAGATCATTTCATTTGCTTGAAGAGAATCGACGGTAAATATATCGAGAACTTGAGTTTTATGAAAAGGCAGCTGAGCAAGGATATAGTAAAGCACGAAATAAAATGTACATTTTCTATGGAAATGAGTCAGAAGTAAAGGAAAAAATAAGGGAGAAGGTCAACTCATATAAAACTAGTCATTAACAAATTTGTGATCAAATTTTTTGGATAGGAATTCAGATGCATTCACTTTTTATTATGGTTAGTAATGATGTTATCAATGATATTCATTTAAATAAAACAATCAAAAAAAATATTGATTGTTTAAGTATCAATTGCTAATAATTGTACATGATGATAGCTCGCTTTTATTTTGTATTCTCAAGATTTACCTCCTAAGCTCAGAATTTAATTCTTGCGACAAATTGATTTTTCATATAGAAGCAGATTTATTCAAAACTTCCATTTAGTGAACCTGGATGTAACGAAGTTTTTTCAATGTACAGAAATTTTGCCTAAGAAACTTGATTATTGGTTATGACTATGATATCCAGCTTTGATCACCGTTTGCGTTTTATGAAACTACAAAAATATCTATATATTTCACGCATTCCCAACCATCCAGCACCATTTCTCGCCTCGTCAAACATAAATACTATTACTATTACCATTACATACTCCAAAACCCAAATCAATTCAAACGAAAATGTTCATTTACATAGATAGCACCTGCCTCATCAAACAGATTACAGAATCAGTAGCACGTGAATATACTATTGTTCAATGCTACGCCTCGGCATATAACTTCCTCCACACCCACATAAACCGTTAATTAAATTATTTATTCCGTTTCTTGATTCCATGCAAACATCAATATACAGTCAAACCTCGTTCTTAAATAGCATACATTCTAAAGCGTTTTTCTTAGAAGGAAATACCCAAAGTCCTTTCTCACATAGTTTGTATATTTAACTATTTCTTTGTTGAACAGTCTATTTATCAAGTAGGATTTCTATATAGCTCACTGAGCAACTTTGTAGTTTTAGAACTTGGCTGGTTTTTGAAGGCAAACGGAACGCTAATACTAAGATAGATAAATATAAGGTTATCGTGTATACAAACGTAGCCGTTAGTAGAATTTACTGGTTAGTTTAATAAAAATGAGTGTCCTTTGACTCGAGTAAATACTGTTGAATGATAGCCTAATAAATACATAATTGGACGGAATTAAACAATCTAAATACAAATGCTCACACGTTCGTATCAATGCTTTATTTAAGAGGTCGAATTCAGTCAATGTTATTTACACGTAAATGAAGAAGAGGATAATATTTTCTCGACTCATTAACTTGGAACTCGATAGTAATGAAGATATATAGGTCCGCATAACGTAGACTCAAGATCGTACGGTTAGCCCATTTCTGACCTTAATTTTCTCATCGTACGAGTTGTGTTAACCTCCAAGTTACTTGACCACTTGATATTTTATAAGGAATAATTCGCACGCAGGTCACTCACCCACATTAGCGACCGATGTACTACGAAAATTTATTCAAACACTCAATTAAAGATTATTCTCGCATTGGTGTAAGAGTTAAGAGGGTACTTTGCTATCGAAGAGAATGCTCAAGCTGCATAAGAAGAGTCTATTCCTTGAAACAATAATAAACTGATAAATCCTCACTGCACTAAATGACAAGAAAAATGTATTGAGAAAATTTGCCTGTATAAAGATACGTGATCAAGTGTGCTCGATATTCCTAGTGTCAACCTAAATAACTCTCGCGAACAGTTTTTCTGTGCATCTCTTCTAATATGTCATAGAATAAGCGTCAATATAAATTCAAAAGTATCTGCAAAAACTATACCATATTTTACTACTCCGCTATCAACGTAATTAATCGGTGTGTCACTTGTTCGGTGTTAGACTCGTGATTGGTCTATGCAGTTACTATACACGGAAATATCGAATCAATATTTAAGCTACTAAATAAAATTAAATATACATACAGCATACATACGTAATGCAGTCCAAAAAAAATACGTAGCCAAGTCATACTGTATATGCCAAATATGGTAAACGTTACTGTCTACTCGGCTTGATATTTATATATACATGAATAGTGTTAACTTATTGTATGCGTACTTTATATATCCATTGGTTCATTTCCCGTATGTTCGGTTCTTTCATTAAAAAATAAAGTTGGCTCCTGTCAAATAAACGTGAACATTATTGTGGCACCAAAGGTCATAATTAAACGCATATAATAAAGCTTATTTATTTCAACATGGTAATTTTAAAATCATATTGTTTTCATAATTGTCTCATACAAAATAAGTCGTAATAAACATGTAATAATGACATTTCAAACATAAAAACATATATATACTAAAAGTGTAGAAATTCTTATATCATATTGTTTTCATAATTGTTCCATAAAATAAGTCGTAATAAACATGTAACCATAATAATGACTTTTCGAACATAAAAACATATATACTAAAAGCTTAGAAATATTTAATAAGAGCAAAATAACTATAATTCATATATAGAATAATAAGGTAGGGAAACAGGTATAATCACTACTAGTTACAGTACCCAGCTACCAATCAATCTGAGCATCCGTGACTACAATGACAAACTGACCCGTCAAGATAGTCTGCTGCGCAGACTGGCGGGTTAGCTGAATGAAATAACGAATAGAAATTACACCCCACAAATTTACATGTAAAAAAAAAACGTTCTCTATCACTCACTTTCTATAATATAGTCCGAAATCGAAAAAAAAATCTACGTTGTCGCTTTCAGATGCGAACAAAGGCGAAATTATGGAAACGTTGTCGATTGGTGAATATAAGGTTGGAGAAGACGCAATGGATACATCATTGCTATCTGGCGAGTACAACGTTAGAGCCGGAGTCGAAATATTATCGACTGGTGAATGTACGGTAGTTGGAGACGACGCAATGGATACATCATTGCTTTTTGGCGAAGTTACAGGATTGATGTCTTCAATCATACGGTCGTCGAAATAAGTGGCGGCAGATTTATTCTCTTGAACTCGTTTTTTTTTGCTTAATTTGCTTTCAGAAACACATTGATCTTTTTTGCGACCTTTTGTAGGTTGATATTTGTAGCCGGGGTATAATTCGGCGTGAATTTCTTTGGCCTTGCCGGCCAACATTTTGAAAAATTCTTTTTCAATGTCACTTGCGTTCGCCCATTGATTTTTAGCGATTGTACTTCGTTGGTTGAAATTTGTCGAAGTCTTTTTCATTAACGCATTGAGATTGCGTCGGTATAAAACGAAGGATTCTTGGGGACGTGGTGGATTTTTGCGATTTTGTTTGCGGTCACTCGGCCTGAGCAATTGTTTTAAATCCATGCCCAATTCGACGGGAGGATTTTCCATCCAGTATTCGTGTTTAAGGTCTGTTAGGGGGTCTTGATTAAATTTGAATTCGAGAAATTTGGCCATTTTACGTTGTAGCCTACGAGTCGTGGGTCGTCAGAGCAAGAGATGGGGGGGGTTTTTATAGACTTGGAATCCGCAGGATTCTGATCGACGATAGTAATTATTATCCGCTTTAGACAATACAGTGCGAGAAAATGTAGTATGACGCATTGTATTTCTACATTATTTGTCCTTGGAAGATTTAGGTAATTTACACTGTATGCGTGCAATTGGGAAATTTGATCCCAATGCGCAGTAGTCTATTATTACTACCTATGATCTACCTCCATTATTCCATAAATTGTTTCGTACAATCATTATGTATCAATTAAGCAATGGATATAA